TTACAAAATAATTTGAACGTTGAAAATGCTTGTATATCCCCTACGACCTAGAAAGGGCATAGAAAATACATTCTAAAGCTGGGATGTTCAGAATAGCCTAACAAAACTACTCAGTACTTGTCCAGCAATTTGAGCCAGTGTTATAGATTGGTTTATTTTTCCAGTGAGCTGTCTGCCCCCATTTTTTGTTTTGTTCTCACCAAAATATTTTTAGTCAAAATTCTCAGTAAAATATCAGCTAAGATAAAATAGAAGTATTTCAACCAAATTACTGACATTTGAACTAGAGATAAGATCTCAGCGTGAGGCATCCTTCGCTTCCAGTTTAAAGCTTTATCTAACAAAGCAACAATCTTCTACACACCATTTCATAATCTTCCCTCCTCCCATTTGATTTAGAAGCTAATACAACACTCTAGAGTTGGTCACATCCAAGCATCACAGTTACCTTCGGACCTATTTAACCCAAAATGCAATGCTCTGAGTTTCTTTTGCAGACTGCACTGACAATGTTCACCTTTACGTGCTGAACGCAGCAACCCACCGGTCAGCAAAGTACCCTTAAGCCTGCGCTGAACCAGCAAGAACACTGCTTGGTTTGGAAGTGTGCAGGGCTGCAGCTCAGCTGTGCCTTCCTGCAGCTTCAGGAGGAAAAGGGAAGGAAAAGGCGACAGGAGGAAATAAGCGAGGATAATACAGCAGCAATATTTGTGTAAGCTTGCATTAAAAGAAAAGAGACAGTGCAGCAATGTGAGAAGGGGAAGGAGTTAAGGGAGAAGTTCACAGCAGGTCAAGCTAAAATCTGAAGAGGCGAAGTCACATCTAAGGCTGAACTTCCTAACCCCACATGCCTACAGGCAATACGCTTTTCCTGCCTGTCTTACGTCCTTCATTGTCCAGTTCATGCCTAAAATGCTTACAAGTCACAAAACACACCCATGTCCAAAACCAGGGCAGACCAAGTCTCAAATTCACAAGCCTCAACACTTTATGGCTGTGTGAAGCCCCCTAACAGAGCTGTCATCACACAGGAGATGCTGACCCACACAGATTGTCTTTCATCCACCAGTTAAGATGAAGCCCTAGAAGCCTACACTGGCAACTTCCCATCAGCATGGCAGCAGTGATTTCCTTCAGCTTTGCTTTTTTCAGAAAAGCTCAGAAATCTTGTTGTTTGTACAGTTACAGTAAAAGCATGCCAAGGCTGCAGAGCCCAGCTGGGAATTGCTACCAGCACATAATGCCAGCAGTCATTTCACACAAGACCTCCCTCCCACACAGTCGGTACAGAGCAGATCTTGGGGCTTCCCAGCAAAAGGACCCTTGTTCCCAAGACTCATTCAGAAGAAAAAAAAAAATAAAAATCACCTTGTACTTTGGACATTTAAAAAGCTACTGACCAGGCCCCACATCACTGCCTACACACACGGAGCATACTAAGGAGACCAGGTCTACCTTCCCTACAGGACTGCTCCCAACCCCCATAAAAAGGTATTTAGAGGAAAACATATGAAACTACTCTGTTTTCTAACTTTTCAATAAACAGAAGCCTATGTGTAAGCTTTAAAGAAGTATTCTGTAAAATCAGCACATAGAAAGCAATTGCCGGGATGCTACAGAAATCTTTTTGGTTACTCTTGATGACCAGTTATCCTACAGGAGCTGCTTTGTGCCCACATTTCTCTGTATCTGATAATTACTATCAAAAAGGAAATTCATTTGAAATATTAAGGAATAAAAGGCAAAAGCAGGGCTTAGTTGCTAGAATAAACTTCTTACAGACCCAAGACGTGACATACTAAGAGAAGATCTCACGTTTCTGGATCTTTCTGAATATAAGTTTGTAGGGAAAGTGAATTTGGAATGATAGCGTTATAACCGTGAGAGTCCTTGCCATGACTCAATATTAACAATTCCACTCCCGATATTCCACAGGAAGAAGTTAAGTTCTGTAGCACAATGTATTCCAAAACACCCGTTGGTTATACAAATTATCGTGTAAAGGCATAAGCATTACATCTTTTACAGTAGTTTAAGTACTCTTTTGCTCTTCAGGAACAGAAAACAAGTTTCTTCCCCCTCAAATAAGAAAAAATTAGCGGTCAGGGCGCAGCCCCGGGTCAGAGCCCCCCTCAGGACGCTTGAAGCCCCCCAAGCAACCCGGGCGGTGACTGCCCCCCCGAGCACCAACGCGGACACGCGTGCTTTTATTCACAGGAGCCCAGCAGCACGGACAGCAGCGCTGTCACACAGCTGGAGGGGAGCTCGGGCTGAGGCAAGAGGCAGCGCAGCCCCAGGAGCGCCCCTCCATCAGCACCCCTCCATCACCGCCTCCCTCAGCGCCCCCCCCCCCCCCCTCCGCCCCTCACCTCAGCGCACGCCGCGAGCCGCGCACGCCACGAGCCCCGCCCCCGCAGCCCCCCCCCCGGCCACCCCATTGGCCGCCCCGCCCGCCGCGCCGGCCGCCATTTTGTGCGCCGGGCGGGAAGTGATGCGCAGGAAGGGGCGGGAGGCCGCGGGGCAGCGCCGCCATGAGGCGGTGTCGGGGCGGAGGGGGGCGGCATCGGGAACCACACCAAAAAAAATTAAATTAAAAAAAAAAAGACCTTTTAATTGGCTAATAACCTCTTCCTAAGGGCGGACAGCAGTTCGTCCTTCAGTCATCAAAATATTACTCGAATTGTCCAGCCCTGACAAGTATAATAAATGGACTTTAATGAGAAATACCGTTTGCATCTTTATTTTGTACCTCTTCACATTATATTTTTTTGTTTGTTTTTTTGACAATTTCTGTAAGTTGTGCATAATAGTATCGATGTCATAGATAACGTCTTAGTTTTTTAATAAATGCATTATTTCAATAAACATCTTTAAACATGTTAATATTTTCATGTTTGATTTCCACGGGCATTTTTAAACTTAAAAATACAAATATTTGGACTTACTCTATTTTTCTAGCAAGACAAAACGGAGCTTCAACTAAATCCAGTAATGAGATCAGGTCACATGGGTAATAACCACAAAACATTATTTAAAAACATAATTTTTGCTTCAGCTTAATGGCACTCAACTCCTAACACATAAGCAGAACATCAGTCCAAAGCTAGTTCAAAGTACTGACATTTAAGTCGCCTGACACTACAGTGCAAAATTTTAATTAATTCTACATACTCCAGTGTAATTATTGCTGGTTTTAGTACCTACCAGCACTATAATCTATCAGAAGATACTACCCTCATACCATTCTCTAATCACTGCAAAATTGTGAGATGCTCAATTTGCATTTCAGATACGTTAATAATTCACCTAGATTTCACCTTAAAGTCTGCTCTTTAAATGGTTTATTAGAACCAGATTTAATACAGTTATTTGTATTCATGTGGAGGCTCAGGTGCACAGCTGACAGAAAACTGCTCGTCAAGCAGGTATGACAGAGGACAGACCAATTCACCAACTGCCATGAAGTGCCCTTTTATGTTTGTTTTGTTAATTTTTGCTCTAGTTCATTTGGGGGCTTTTTTTCTCCCCTCCTGAAATGCCTAAACACATGACAACAAAGCACAAAGACACAAATTACGTGCACAGTAAATATTTCCCATCGTTGTTGTGAATGCTACTCCTGCTAAAGTCCATCCATTGTCCAGCACTGTAATCACTTTTTCTGAAGATGTCAAAATCAAGATTTATATTGTTTCATTGAAAATAATCTTGAATTTAAAACATTATAATACTTAAGGCAGTATGGTTAATGTCAATAATACAGTGAGAAATACTTTTAGTCAATAGCTTTCCATCTGAGTTTCCCAGGCTGGTTAGTATTGCCACAAATTCAACAAATACCTTCTGTTCATTGTTCACATAGCGAAAACAGCTGCAAGATCAACTGGAATGACATAGTTACACTGCCTCACATTTGGTATTCAGTACTCCCAGATGAATCCAGCTATATTACAGAAGGAACTGAGTCACAATATATATTAGAAATATATCTGTGAAGTTCACCACAGTAATTGCATGGCAGTTGCTCTGGAGATCGCTTGTAACTCTTGACAGTTACATTACAGAAAGAACTTAAAACATGTTTTTAGAAAGGCATCTTTATGATTCCCATCTTAAAAGAAAGCGAAGCTGTCTAGACAAAGCTGACATTCAGTGTCATGTAGTCTAGGACTAAGATCAAGCACTCGAACAGTAAGTTCTCTGGAACAGGAACTTTTTGCTGTATGCTTGCACATGACTGTCCCCAGGTGTGCCCAGCAACTTCTAGACATTACCATAACACACCATAAATATTTTTAGTATCCTGCTTTTTAACTTGTCCTTGGGTTGTGTTCTCTCAAATGCAGGTCACTGAAAAGTGTTTCTGCCCCCCCCAGTAAAGCTGAATTTAAAAAGGAATGGAGAATGAAAGCTCCATTACTTTTAGTTATTTAACATATAGCACTCAAAGCAGGAAAAGAAATGAGAATATCTAAATGTAGATGAAATTACTTTCAATTAAAGTTGAAAATACTTTCAGTTACTCTCTGTCAAATAATGTTGGTAAGGCTTGATAATTCTATTAATATTGCCAGTTGCAGTTTTACTTGTAACTACTCAGGCAAGGTCTATCAAATCAAGCAGTGGTATGCTAACCACTTGGTTATCTAAAAAAAGCCTGTCTGAATTCTAAAAGCAACTGGACTGTGCACTTAGTCACATGGTCTAAAATTTTGGGTAGACCTGTGCGGTGCCAGGAGTTGGACTTGATGATCCTTATGGTTCCCTTCCAACTCAGGATATTCTATGATTCTATGAAATAAATACATACAATGAAGTTTTTATCGTATAAACTTCTTCATACTTTTCTGCTTCATACAATGTCTCTTCTTCCATTGTATGCTCACTCCAGCATGCAAAGATTATTTATGTTATAGTATATTTTGGCCAGCTATGCCAACTAGTACATTGAAGCAATTAGTAATTAATCTGCATATGTACATAGACAAATTGTTACATACCTGGAATCAATGAACATAATTCCTTCAGCAGATTTTTGCAGGTTAAGTACTAACAGATAATGAGATTTGCTCAAAAGGAGTGTTGATTTAGAACATCTTGAAATGTTACATCTCACTTGTGTTTCAATTTGATTTCCTCTACATCACATTTTGCAGATACACCTGCAGAAGTCAAGAGAAACAGAACTTGAGAGAAACTGTAAAATGACACAAGTTTATTATGACTGATTATCAAGCTCCTGGATTACTGATGGTATTTTGATGTTTAGTTGCCACTTAGTGATGAATAAATCAAAACAAATCATGTACTCTAATTATATACAACAATCAAAGGGGATTTTGAAAGAAAAGTCAAGCTGTTTAATAAAGACACCATTTACTGAAGTTTAGCTCAGAGCTACGAGTTTCTGACTTCAGAGAACCAAAGCTAACTTTCTGCATCCTCTAGTAAGGGCTGTCATCTCTTTTCTGCAGTATTTTTTTATATCAGCAAATGCTACTATTGGTAGAAATGCTAGCATTTACTCATAATCTGCACAGGGATACCAGTTTAAGATTTCATAGATGATCCTGTTGAACATGGGAAAATTAGGCCATGCAGTGTGGGCTCATCCTCAGCCTCCCCAACTATTTTCTAACTACCCTTAAAAGGCTATCTGGTGTTCCAGGAATAGTTCAGATACAAGAAACAGATTGATCGCAGACAGGTATTCTGATCTTCTCCCCCTTCTGATCACCCATACTATGGGTGTACATGTGTTGAGATTTGTTTTTAATTGGCCATTTAGTTAGTGGCAAGGACTCCTTATGCCTTCCCTGAAGGCAGAAAGATTAAAGTGGAAGTAACAGCAGGAGTCCTCCATCTAACTGGTAGCCAGAGACCACCCAGAGGGCTCATCTGATAGCATTCTCTGCCCTTTTTGTATTTGTACAGAGGAGGATAGCTCTAATTTTATGCTAAAGAGGATAGCTTAGCTTGAACTATTTCCCTTCATGGCTTTTATTGACACTCTCATTATCAAGCCAACAGATTGATATGTGAGGTTCCTAACACACCACTGACATGTATTATGAAACAGATGAAATCTGTTACCCATTCATTTGTTTCTGGCATTTTTATTTATTTAATTATTTTTAAAGAAAATGGATGTTATTTGTCGGATTCCACATGCTGTACTTTTTTTGTTGTCATCGTTGTGAGTTACCATCTTGGTCTTTGGTTCAAGGTCTGGTCTTCTAACTGAAACTGGTTGATGATGAGATCAATTATGTAAGACTAGGCCCACAAACGTTCAAGTCTGTGCAAGAGAGAGAAGCGCAAGATCTTCAGAGCAGATACATATTTAAAAACCGCTGTATCATCAATATTGTTTTGCATAACTAAAATGTCTTGTAGATAATTTTTTAATAGACATTTATCTGCACTGACAAGAAAAATCTCAGAAACAAGATGTTCAAAAAAAAAAAAGACACCTGGACATGCCTGTAAATGAAAATAACCAAACCTGACTATAATTTTTAATTTCTTTCAGCTACATATTAGTGAGGTTATGCATGAAGTCTAGACACAATACCAATACTGTCACACGGCCAAGGCACCAGAAAAGAACTGCTGCTGCTGCAAGCCAAGCACAATGCAGTGCACTAATTAGCATTAGTATGAAATCAGTCTGAATGCTAAACTGGTTCACTTTGTGCTTTTACCACTGTCTTAAAGATGCCGGCAACTTTTACCCCTTCAAGACTTATAAAAATTGTCAGACTGCATTCTGTCTGATGGACATTAGCCCATGGAAAATCATTCTTAAAGCAGCGTGTGTCCATTTGAGCAACAGCTTCATTTAATTTATAGTTCCAGCATCTGTAACTGATCCACTGTAGTCTACAGCAATAACCATTAAGCAATCAGTAACCGTTACATGAATAATGCTGTAAACAGTAAATTACCAAAAAATGAATGATTAAAGTAGATGCTAACTAGGGAAAGCATAAGTAACAGACTTTCTAACTTTCCAGCTTAAAAAGTCTTTGCAGGTTAGTAGAAATCTGGGTCAACATGTTCTGGAATGTAATCATTCTGTGCAAGGCAAATATGATTACATCCCTTTGCTTAACAGCACGAGATTAGCAACTGCAAAGCAACTCTTTATATAGGCATTTTTGTTGGCTATCTTCCCAAAGCAGTTGTGGACATGATTAGTCACTAGGACTGAATTCTCTACAGCAGGAATTATCCAAATATAGCTACTAAAACACTAGGAGAGATGATAAAACGTGATGGATTAAGTATTACAGTTAAATTTTCTGTTTGTAACTGACATGGAATTACAACATACTTTCTTCAAATACTTGCTATGAAATTTAATTAGCCTCACACATGTAAGGGGAAAAAATGTTAGATTTTTTTATTTTTATCTTTATTTAGAAAATTACGGGAACACTTCCTTCCTTAATCTGTCTGCAAACAAATCTGAGGCTACCTGGAATCAAGCTGCACTAGGAGTAGTGCAGACAATGGACTGTTCTGTAGCTACCATATGATCACGATTTCCAAGCCAAATTAGCTCCCCAATATTCAATTTCATGAGACTAACCAGTCCCTTTTCAAACTATACCCATATGTAATTGCATGTCATCTAAGGAAAGAAGCAAAACCAAGCAGAGAAAAAAAAAACACAACTACAAAAGGTACTAAAAGACTATCAAGATGGAATTTATTTTGTTCCTAACCCTAATGTTGTTATGAAAATGGCAAAGCATCAACAGCTCATCTTGTTCCCAACTCTCAATATTTTCCTCAGCCTACTTCCCGATCCCTTTTGTTCTTCCCCTTACCTGTTCCCACATCCTTTTTCTCTTCCACATGCCAACATATTACCTTACCTACACTTTTTCCCCCCCTTTTCCTTACACAATGCCATAGTGACATTCTTTCATGCTATTTCTCATCTATAGCCTTGCTCCACATATCTCAGAACAGCCACAGAGTTTTAAGATGGGATTGAGATACCTATCTCTGCAGAAGATGACCTCGTGAAGGAAATCAGTATAGAACGTGAAGGCTCTTTGGTGAGAGTTGAAGGACCCATGTGCTACAGCGTACCACCAGGCATAAAGTAAGGCTGTAAAGCTCAGCAGGATGCTGCTCTTTTAAGGTACTTGAAGAGAGAAAGGAGAAAAGTAGATGAGAAGTAGGAGGCGTCCATGAGAGGGAAGAAAAATGCTTTGTTGGCAGGTTAGTGACCACTTAAACAAAACCAGGAAATTATTACTTCACCACCCATGAAAGGCGGAATCAGACTCCAGCTGCAGGAAATTTCACATATTGTAAAATTGCTGTTTTCTATCGCTAACTTTTAGGGTTTTCTGGAGTAGAACAAAATGCATTAGTAATGCTGAGCTAACATGTTTAGGGTAACATCCACAGAAGTGAAATTCTCTTGAGGAGTTTACTGTTGTTTAAGCTTCTCTGAATCTCATTACGAAGTATCTGTATGAACAGCAGCCTCTCGCAGATTTTATGGCAGCATAAAGTGTTTTTTTTTTTTCCTGAGATTAAGAAATATTTGACTCCCACACAAGTTTCTTCAATATACATTAAGAAAACAAAACTATAGTAAGATTATAAACCTTCCCCAAACCTAAAAAATGTTTTATATAGTTAAAAAGAAAACAAAAAATATTTCTCTTTAGGATATGATCCACCTTCAACAATAGTGTAGACAGAAGAGAATATTGGTCCCAGAAGGTAGGGGTGGCCAGGAGTGGTACCAGAATATTGGGGGTATGAAAAGCCAAGCATACGAGCCACGTGTAGGGCTTCTTCATGCTCTACCTAAAACAATCTGTAAATTAAGTATTTGCCACGCAATTCAGGAAGGTTCAGAATAAAGGTCAGAATAAGTCATTTGCATAAACATTTACACTATGTTACAGCATGTAAAATGGAGAAATAGGGACAATTCCTAGGGCACTGTAGATCTACAATTTTAGTGAGGAACTTCACTTTTAACCAAAATGACTTTCCACAAACTAATGATCAAGCAAAATCAGATTAGACATAATCTACACACAAATTGTGGTTAAACTTACATCAAGGGGCTATTAAAGATAATTTGTACTGATGTAGTTTACCTATTTTTCCTGTATTTGGTCCACTCTTGTGATCTTACAGTCTCACAGAAAGAGCAAGGAAGACAATACACAATTGCAGCTGATCTACATCTCACAGCATCACAGAACAGTTGGGGTTGGAAGGGACCTCTGGAGGCCATCTGGTCCAACCCTCGTGCTCAGGCAGGGTCACCCAGCGCAGGTGAGGCTTTCACAATATTTTCTTTTGGGTTTATCCTTTGGAGCTTTTTAAAGATCATTTTGAAGATGCTGAGACAAAAAAAAAAGTGTGTTATCTGTTACAACAGTTAACTAGAACAAACTAATAACCAACAGATCAAATGTTTTTGTGGTCCATGGGATTAACATCCTGATCATCTAAATTTTGACAAGAAGGCCTTAATAAGGCAACAACCACAACAATCTCTTCAAGTTGCAGAATTGATTATCATAGAAATTCTTACCTTATGCAAGTAGAATCCTGTGCACTAGCTCCACATAAATCCTTGCAGTTAGCACAGCAAGGAGGAATCCTGTGCAGTCCTCAATAAATTGGCTTGAAATAGCATAACTGCATTCTCTTAAGTGTCAGTTCTCCCCTATGCTAGGGTGTTCTGTAATACTTCCTCACTTGGTACTGTACAACTGCAGGAAGATACAAAGCAAGACTTATGCCAACCAGCTTTTTTCTGATCTTCCTCAGAAAGCTTGAGGCTAGAGATAGCCACAGAAATATTAAAATGAACCAGTATTTCACAGCGTTTATGTATTACATAGCGGTTACAGCATCTTGGGACCACAGTAATGCAAAATTAAGTATTAGAAATTAACACTATTCTGAAATTAACTTGTTTACTATGGAATCACAGCTCACGTTAACATGCTGCCTACATGCATTCTGTGAACATCTGTAGGTATTCACTACTAGTCTATTAAAAATACCTACAGCTGGCTGCTTCTCAAAGCATATTAGCAAGGCGAGTTACTAGAAGGTGGACGAACAGGATACAAACTCATGGTTGTTTTCCACAAGGATGCTGATTTCAAATAAGAACTCAGCTATCTCATTAAGCTACAACTGCGGCTTAAGACAAAGTACCCACTATATACCCACTGGAAACCCAGACTTCTGTATTTCCAGAACTTGTGAAGGTTTTTCTTCTTCCACACAACAGGAACTCTCATGGAAAACAAATTTTTTGTCACTACGAATAAGAACGTTTCTATATTCGTTTATCAGTGTGCAACAACTAGAAAAAGTTATGGAAATGTGCAACTTAAATCTTTCTATACAATATGAACAATAGCTTTATTACCTAGAATATGAAACTAAGCAGCCCCAAATTCAAGACATTCTGATATTTCTTCATTCTTTTTCCTCAATTTTTGCATCTAAAGCTGGATCTTAAGAGACAGTATTGTTCTAACAATTATTGCTGTGATAACATGAGGCACGTTTTCTTGTGGTCAGTGTTTCACATTCATGATATGAATCCAACCACATACACCTCAGCACTGTTAGGAATAAAGACAACGGAAGGCATCTGAATCCAACAGTAGTTTATTACGCTCATTGCAGATGAAGTTAGACACTTCAGTTACTAGCAAATACAAGTTTAAATATTAGTTGACAACCGCATAAAGTGTACAAATACAAAAAATCATTAACGATAACAAAAACATTCTAATGTATTAACTTTTACACATCAGTTGTATTCTATTATACAGCAATCACTATATGATCCTCAACCAAAATCAGGGCTTGCACTTGAAAGCATTTGTTTGTTTGAACTACAAGTTCTCCAAGAGGTTGAGAGACTGGGGGGTTACAACCGCACTATTTCCCAAAATACTATCAACATATAGCCTCACCTAATACAGACAAAGCTCTTTTATATTTTCTAGATATTTGCTTTTAACAGGGAATGCAGTAACAAGAAAAATATATGCATATGTTTTTAAAAAACTAAACAGCAGTATGCACTATATTTTATATATATATCTATATTGTATTACAGATTTCATATAAATCAAGTATAGGCCAAATTTTGGCATAATTTTAAGTGCATTAAGTTTAATACAAAATCCCCCTCAGTCTTTGCTCTTACTTTTAAAGCTACCAGTTACTAAATTCTCCTTTTTCAGTTACAGTATTTCAAATGTCTGTCTTAAAACTCATTTTCATTTCTGGCATATCAGCCTTGACTTCCAAACAAAATAAATTTGTCAGAAAAAAAGCTCAGTGACTAATTTAGTCACAAAGTTTAGTCTAGATTGATAGGGCGTATTATTTACACTTACCAATCACTTTAAGGTAAGGTATTCTCCTCTGTACCCCTTCATTCTGTTAAATGGACACTTAGTAACATGCAAATTATTTCAGGTGCAGAACTAAGCACAAAACACATTTTTCTAATGCACAGTAAATTTGTTTCAACTCCAGCATGCGGTTAGAATTAGAGAACACCTAAAAACCAATATCCTCTCTGCCATGACACCTTTGTTTCCAAATTAAGGTTTGTTTGCCCTTGTTTCACAAGGATTACAGAAAGAAAACAACCCAGTGACCCAACTAATCCATTTGACAAAGACAGTATTTACAGTAAGTTTTAAACAGGCTTGTATATTTTTTGCAGAAACAAAAAAATGCCACTTAAGCTTTACACTAGAATAAAGTCCTGGCATGAAGTCATTCAATGAGAATTCCTCCCACATAAGAAGTCGAAGTTTCCTCTAAATCATTTGTCGAATATAGCAGTAAGTTGTATAACCCAGAAACATTCTGCATTTAAGGAAAACAGCGCAAACAGTTACAGAAAATGAATCCCCCAAGAATCAACTCTCCTGGCAACGTTTCATCTACTAACATTCAGTGATCTCAGTATTCAGCACCACTATGGTACAGAGGAAAAAGAATCAATCCACTGCAAATGTACAAGCAGTTCCAGCGGCTAAGGAACATCTTCCAAGGTAAGCCCTTTAAAAGTCCTGTAAAAACTGGGCTAAGTGATTTTAAAAAGAACAGTCCCTTACGAAGTAAGTCACTTAACGCACGCTGTTTCATGGATGCACATCAGACTGCAGACATGACCTTCAGGGTTCACTCTCAATGAAATAAGGAACTAGGTGCAGAACTCCCAGCAAAGTTAACAGGGGTTAGACAGCAGTGCCCCCCTCATTCACTTGAAGTATTAAATATTTTATATATTGCATGTCAATTTCCCTTCTTTTGTACTGAGAAAAGAAGTGCTGAAATAGAAGCAACTTTTAACACAGCAGATGTATTTACTTACAGCATGCAAGGTTTGTTTTATGTATCTGAGCAGCTAACAGCCACTAACAGCCCTTAAGTATTTACAAGTTCAAACCAACAATCTTCACATAAGTAGCAATTGCTTACAAGAAGCTCAGGACACTTCCTGGGAAATAAGCAAGAAATGTGTAAAAAACGCAGTGAAAGCATAGTAAAATCTAGTAGCAAAGGAAAACATGCCAGCTTTTAAAATCCAGACAATCTAACACTGTTCTGGTAGAAAACAAAACTGCACATCACATTTAAAGATACCATTTTTAAAGAAATGCATTTTTCTAGTTGGTGTCTGTCCCTCCACCCCGAGAAAAGCTGTATATAATCTTAAGAAAAAAGTTTCTTTAAAAAAACAAAAACAAAAAACAACACACTCCCTTTGGCTTGCCAAATTACTTTTTTTTTTTTAATTTGCAAGATAAGGGATAAGGCAAATGTGATCAGAGGCTGAAGGGCTTCACATGGATGACATGGAAGATACTTCAACCCCAGTTCACAGAATGGGAAGCAAAAGCAAGAGCTTTACTGTAAACATGAAACTTTTTTTCATAAGACTAGACCGCAGAACTTAACCCAAGATGCAATGCCTGTGTTAGTCTATTTCAGGGCCAGGTCAGGAAAAAAGGCTCTCTCATGCTTAAGTCAGTATGAGACTAAATTCCTGTCTCTTCAGCCTCTTGGAAAACAGAATTTATTGCCAAATTACACTCTATTCTAATGTTAGTTTCAGTTTTGTATTTCACACAGTAATTACCTAAAACAAATCTCTCGTATCTTTTTGTAGTAAGTGTGTATCCCTATCTACTTCAGTAACAGGGTATTCCTACCTTCAGGACTTTATGAACTGCAATTAACAAAGTTTACTGTGACATGAATAATGTTTTTGCACCACTTCATGAGAGGTTTTAAGTTTATTATCGTTCTGAAAAGACATCTAACTACATTTTTAAAGCTATGTTAAATTTAGTTATAATTTAGTTATAAATAACTTGGCAGCAGCTGATGCTCACACTGGAAACATTTTTTCATGTCCAACTCTAGCAATAGCTTAGGGAAAAAGTGCTCTAGTTTTACCTGTTTTGACTAATTTGGAGAAATCTTATTAACAAAAAATTTATTAAAATAAATATATTTTTTAAGTTGTTCTATTTTTACAATTCTTTACTCTGTAACAGTAATTCACATTGCATGATATTTTGTGCTGAACTGCCCTTTTGAGCCAAGTCCTTTATAAAACATGAAAATAGTATAGTAAAAGTTATTCACGTAAACTACAGCGAAGTAGTAGGGATGTAAAGGTGCTGGAGAAACCAACATTCTGATATATATTTCCTGCAGACTAAACAATGTGGTACACAAAGCATGACATTTTGAAGTTACCCAATGTAATGTATAAAAATATAAAATATTATATATTTGAGTAACAGCAGAATAAGCTACAGTGCAATTTTCCTGAACCTGGTGAAAGCCCTACCTATTTTTTCCCACCCATTCTACATTTTCCACAATAGGATTTCTTTTCCATTAATAGTACAACAGAGCAAGCACAGCTAGAGAAGACACATTTAAGAACACACTAATTCTGTAAACTTGAAGTTCTTAGAAATCAAATACGTACCTTAAAAAAAAAAAGATTTGTTGACCCATTCTTTTTGTGCTACAGTTTATACATTCTTCACTATAAAACGTGAAGCTCAGATATTTAGTATGCCCTAAATTTCAGAGAAAATCATCCCATCGCTTTTATCAGGCTTCAGACTAATGTAATTGGAACTACAAACACTTGCTCAGGGCTATAAACATAAGGCATTTTGTGTACATTCCTCCCAGCTATTTATTCAACAGCTACCTTAGTGCACAAAGCCAAACCAGTGGAAATCCCTCCCTCAAAAAATTGAAAATGAATTTATCTTTTACTACACATTCAGCATAAAACTGCAATAAAGGAACAGACAGAAAATAGCTAGCTTGTTTCAGTGCATATTTCTAGTTGTAATTTTTTTTCTACAATGTAAGATCTTTTTAACTATAAAAGGCGTTTAACTCACTTCAGTTCTTCTGAATACATTCATAGCAGTGTATTCTGAATGCACATCACAAAGTCAGATTTTCACATCATCTAATAGGAGTGTACAATAACTTTGCTTGAGAAAAGACATGAATGGGAAGTTATTTTTTTAATTTACAAATTAATATTTTGGAGCTCATATTTCCAACAGAAAAAAAAACCTTTCAATTCCAAATATTTTGTAAGAAAACCTAAGTTTTGTATTCTAACTATATTATTCTCTATACT